AAAACAAAAATTTTTCCTCACAAGTCACTTGTAACCTGAGCAAGTGGCAATATCATCTTGACAATCATAGTCACATCATATATTAAAATATATTGAAAATAAATAATGAAATATAATAATAGTGAGAACATTGATTAAAATAAAATTCCTATACTTCAATTAATGAGTAGTATCTCCATTTTTTATTATAAGATCTAATTTTTTTAAATGGGTTTATCATTTTTATAATATTTTTTTTTAGTTTGTCTAAGCATTTAATGTAATATTACTTTTTTTTTTACCTTTAATTTATTGTATTTAATACATTCTCTTTTTTCATTTATCGCATTATTACTCTTTTACATTTATTTATTTATATATAGAGGTATATTTGGAAAAAAAACTCCTTTTGCTACATATTAATTGCTTTTAACGAATTTTAGTTGTTTTTTTAAACCGTATAATTTAGTTAAAATGATCTTATAATAAAAGACGGAGTAGTATAAATCTCCAATTACTCAATAGATTACGTAATCTCTTTTGTTGGCCAAAAAAGATTACGTATTCTCTTTTGAAATCCAAAAGTCATCGTTCCCTCTAAATAAAACCCGTCATTTGGACCAAACATTATTCAACAAGGAAACCCAAGGATTCATGCCTTGTAATCATTTCACATGACTATATGAGTGCTTGTTCAGATTGCCTTTTATTTCAATTGATTTTTGTAAATTACAGTTGGAATAAAAATTAATTAGTATGATATAATTTATATTTAGATAGATTTTTATTTAAAAAAAACACTTTAACAAATGCTCGTTTGAATTATATATTGAAAAGCCAGCTAGCTTGGACAAGGTTCATGATTCGAACCTAGCATTGACCGTGTACTTTTGTTTAATTGTAGGATATCAAAAAGAAAAGTTACAAATAAGAGTTGATCAAGTTAGTAAGGAGTTAGCTCATAATCACAAGGTCATGAGTTTAAATTCCATTACTAATATGAGGACCTTGTTGTTAATAGCCTGTAAGTAATTTTGTAAACATTATTTGAGTTTGGAGGCATGTACCGATCTTGCTAAGCCTCTAAAATCTAACTTATCTAAATTTTAGTATACTAAACAAAATGAAAAAAAAAGGTTAGTTTCAATCTTACTTTAATTTTTAAGTAAAAAGTCCGTTGTCTGTCTTCCAAAATCATGTCAACCATGCATTTATTCTATATGCAAGCCTAGAAGTCCCTTTGGAGCTTCCCATATAAGCTTAGAAACCCATGGTAGGAATGTGTTATGAAATAAATTAGCTTAAAAAGCAACAAAGGGAGGAAAAAAGGGGCACAACTTTCCATATATAAGTTACTAGCATTGTAAAAATTTGTTAATTTTTTTCTAATTTTATTCTTATTGAATACTACCTCCGGTCTTAATTATAAGAGCCAGTTGACTAATTTGAAGAGATTAAGGAAGTAAGTTGAGTTAGTTATTTGTCCTAAATATATGTTGTCTTTCCTAAAATATCATTGCTAATTAAGTGTATTAACTAGAACTATTATTGTTAGAATGACTACTTTGAAAAAAAAAAGTATAAATATGAGAGAGAAAGTGGATTGGAGTCTTATATTTAAGACCAAAATAAAAATCAAACAGGGTCTTATATTAAGAATCAGAAGTAATATAATAAAGAAAATAAGCGACACAAGATGTACAACATATTTTTTTCAACACCCTTTTCTAATAGAGGCAAATGTGAAAAATATTAACAATTCAATGTATTTTTTGACATGTGAGAACGAGATATAAGTGATCAAACATAAAGGACTACATATAATATTTTTTACATTGATAACAAAAGTCTAAATGCTTTTTTTGGTGAAATACAAAAGTCTAAATGAGAATCCATAGCAGTAAATGTCCAATGAATATACAAAGCATTTATTGCTTAGGATTTCCTCAAATTATGAATGGGGCGAGAACTTCAATGAGATGGGTTATCAAGAAAAAAAGTGAGAAGAAGAATCTGGAAAAGGAAAGCAAACTTTTGTTGGGAAAAAAAAAAAAAACTTTGCAGACAATTGTTGAAAATGAGAAAGGAAGAAGAATCTATGAAAAATACTCTGCTCACTCGGATCATAATTTAAAAAGCTTGTTGTTTAATTCACATATGTTTAAAAAAAGTAGCGTGTAAATAATTTGTGGTAGTTTTTTCTGAAATTTCCTTGTTATTTAATTCACATATTTTTAAAAATGTAATGTGTAAATAATTTGTGGTAGTTTTTTCCCCTGAAATTTTCACCAATATTTAAATCAAACTATTGGCTTGAATGATAAATTTAAAAATGTGCATTAAATAGACTAGAAAATATAAAATAATTAGTTGGTTACTTACACTAAGAGGGGGTACCGAGAGCCATACCACGTCCACATTGCACAATAAATTCTTCCCTTTGAATTTGGATCTAGGGAATTATTGAATTATTGCACACAAGGTTTTATCCTTATTCCTCTGATCTTATTTATAAGACATTTTCAGTATGTTTCACACAAAACAAGAAAAATTTTAAATTTTATTAACTCTCATTTAAAATTTAATGACTTTTCACTTTTATCCCTATTTAATATATATTATATTTCATATAAACAAAGTCAACACAATAATAAATAAGAAGTAAAATTATACATCTAAATAGAACCAAAAAATACTTTCTCACTCTTTCCTGTAAATAGGATCAGAAGAGTATATTAATAATAATACACAGGCAGATTGATTTGAAATGTGCTTTTATTACAAGACAAAAACTTGCTTTTTTGTGTCTATCTAAGGGGGGGACTATAGATTAGAATACCCAGAAATTATAATGCAACAGAAAAAAAAAACTTGCAAGGTTAAGAAATTGGTATGTGACAAATTAATTAAACATTCCTAGTACCTAATTTTGGTTTCGTTTAATTTGGCTTATTAGGTCATATAGCTGTCTTTTAATATTAAAAAAATATTATTCTTTTTCTCTTTCTCTCTCTTAATTAAGTAAATGTAAACACCAAACAATGCTTCAATAAAAAAGAAGAAAAATAATACCAAGGAATAATTTAGAACATCAATGTGTTGACTATAAAAACATCGAATGAATGTAATTATGATATATAGATTAATATTCCATATACATAGATATTCTTTTGTGCTATTAATATTTTAAATGCATGACCATATGAATGAAAATAATTAATTCAAATTCTCTTTAGTAGCTGCGTAAGAGAAAGACATAAAGAGCAGTTGACATTTCACGTGGCAACTAGGTCTTACAATGCCAGTGTGGTCTCCCTTGCTAATAAATAATGCAATGGTTGTAGAAGTGTGGGGGAATGACACTTTGGGACCCATATTTATTTTCAGACTAAAAATTTCCAAAAAGAACCTTTGGTTCTTATTAATAATAATAATAATAATAATAATAATAATAATAATAATAATAATAATAATAATAATAATAATAATTAATACTTACATACATACTTAGAATTGATGAATAATCCATAATATATTTCATCTTCAACTCTATGCCATGCAAAAATAAAAGTACAATTTTTCAAGTAACAAATTGTCTAGTATTAAGCGGTGTCAATGAATTTTAATTTATTTTGGGTTTAATTGTAATTTAATAAACTTTCCTAATAGAAGTTTTAATATTCATAAAGCTCAAAATTAAGTTGTTACTTAACATATTGATTTCTTGTACATTGAGTGTAGTTGGTAACATGGACACAATTAATTCATTTTAAGCATTTTGAAGTGCAAGACAAATTAGCATAATTTTTTGAAGTGTCAAATCATCTAGTATTTGTCGGTTAAAAAAAACATATAGTATTTTGCTCTAATGAATTTGAATTCAATTCGGGATGAATTTTAACTAGGGAAAGTTTTCTCAACCTCTTTTTTATATTGACAAAATTTAAATATAAAATTTTGCTTAAAAATGTGGATTTTCTTTAATCCATTATTGGTAATATGAGCAACCTATAGTTTGATATTTTGGTTTGGGGAAATTTTCTATGCTTTGTCGATATCATGATCTCAAGTATTTTTATTTCATGTGTTGGCTTACATGTCATCCTGCCATTTATGTAGGCAATCTCACATAATAAGATAACACTTTGTTGTTATTATTATTATTATTTTTTTACCAGCATTGTTGTTATTATTATCAGTCTACTTGTCACTCTTCATCTTTTTTATTATTTTCCACCATCTTCCATATGAGTTATAGTTTTTGAAATAGGGCTGGTCCTTTTATTATTTGCACTTTGTACTTATTTAAAAAATTTAATTCACTTTTTCACTTTTAACCCAAATAACAACATGCCTTTCTCATATATTTTTTTTATCCATTTTCTATTTGACAGTAATTACATCATACTCCTCCGGTCCTTAATATAGGACCCAATTATTGAGTTGGTTTTTATTCTAAATATAAGACCCATTTATCATATTTATCAATTTTCTCTAAATTACCCTTATAGATACTCCCTCAACTATAATCAAATAGAAGAAGGAGAGAAGGTATTAAAAAAGATGATTATGGTGTTTTAGGAAAAATATGTCACTTTTCTTATAATTAACTAACTTACCTAACTTTCTTAATCTAAGCAAATTAGTTAAATGGGTCTTACATTAAGGATCGGAGGAGTATATATTTTTTATAATTATTATATTAGGTTTTCCAATCACACATAATTATGTGTCCTATTTTTAAAATATTAGTATTTAATTAAAAATTCATATAAAATAAAAAAAAACAACACATGATTATGCATGATTACAGAACTTAACATAATGAATGGATACAAGAAACTTGGTTTAAATTTTTTTTTTTGGAAGAATCTAAAAAAAAATACCTTTAAAACTTCCATATCCCAAATCTGATTTAGAATTTCCCCCTTTCCTCGTTTTCCTCCGGTTTACTTTAACCTCGACTGATACTGAGGTTTCAAGGCTTGATCCCGTATGAGAAATTAAGAATTGTTTCTTGTTTCAGAGGCAAGTGTCATAGTCGTAGCTCGAAACCGTCGTCTAGTTTCACACGCCCACATCTTCCCCCTACCTCTTCCTCTCATAAATTCCTCTCATTCTTCTCAATTTCCTCACTTTTCACCCTAATTTGAGGCCTCGCTTGAATCTCTCTTCTTTTACCACCTTCATCTTCTTCTCTCTGGTGATCTTGATGGGTTTCTTGATTTGTCTGGTTCATTAGCCAAATCCCATTACGCAGAATCCACCTCCTGTGAAACCCAGTTGATTCATGGTGTTCCATTCAGTACCCAAATCTGAAATAGTTCCTCCTCCTCCTCCTCCAACATCCATCTGCGAATCGCCGTCCATGGCTTCAACCTTCTCCCCTGCTAAGTCTCACCAGCCTCTTCACAATTTTCCTCTCTCCAACTTGAAGTGGTCGATGAATCAATCCAATACACAGCGCCTTCGCAGGCCTCTTGATCCCTCTCATCTATCGCCTTCGCGTCATTCTGATCAGGATCACAATCGTTCTGCCCGAAAGAATGACAACAGGCTCATCAAGTTGTCCTAACCGTCCTCCAAACTCCTCTGGATCGGGCAATTCTGGTCGCGATGATTTGAAAACTGTATCTGCTAGCGAGATTCGAGCTCTGAATTTGGTTGAAAGTTCAGATAAGAAGCTGAAACTGAAAAAGGAGGAGAAAGTGAAGGCATCGGACTTGCATCAAACTGGACTTATCCGAGCACCAGCGAGGAGCAAGGCTGATACTGACGCCGAAGATGATGCCGAATGGGCAGATGACGATGAAGAACCTGTAGCGAAGACATGGAATCTGAGGCCGAGACGGCCAGTGACTAAACCTCAGAGTGCCAGTGGAGCGCCGCCGCAGGAGAATAAACCCTCGCCGCTTGCGCACACTCAGCCGGAATCGACTGTCACTGAGCACAAAGTTGCAAAGAAAAAGCGCAAACTTTCAGTATCTCTTTCAAAGGTGGAAATTGAGGACGATTTCCTGATCTTGACTGGGTCAAAGCCCCCCAGGCGGCCGAAGAAGAGAGCGAAGGGAGTGCAGAAACTGCTTGATGTATGTCTCTTTGATCACATAATTATCCATTTCGTGCTATTGTGGTAATTTGATGCTAGCGTTGCTATTCTTTTGCAGGGACTTTTTCCGGGTCTGTGGTTAACGTCGGTGACTCCTGATATGTATCGAGTTCCTGATGCTCCTCTTAAGGTAATCCTTTCAGAGTCTTGTTTCAATATCTTTTGGTTTATTGTGTGTTGGAATTTATTTTTGGCTTATTAGACACGGCGCACAATTCTTCAAGATCCATACGAATAATCATATTGCCGGGCCCTGTGTTAGTTTGTGTTCGATGGCTGTGTGTTCATGCTTTGCTTGATCACGCTTCAAGATAACCTAAACCCTCTTCCAATTGTAAGAGGATGAGGGGCCTAAAAATATAGTGAATACACTAGATTATAGTCTACTTTCAATATCTTATTTGTTATTTAGAACAAATGAATGTTTGTGGTGTATTCAAGTTCTTATGCCAATCAAACTACAACATCATATGATACTGAGAATTCTTCATGCTTCTTGCAGGGTTAAACTTTTCTAGTGCTGGTTCTGACCTTCTGGGATATAGGATGTTCTTTTGGTTTCTGACTTCTTCTGACTTTGGAACATTTTGTTTTTTGGCCGTCAGCAGAAGGTATAAAATACCATATACCAACAGATCATAAGAAGATGGATAACAAATGTATCTGTTTTTGGGCCTCATCTGTTGACTGAGGCATCCAATAAATGTTAGAAGAGCTATAACAGTAAAGGGTTATGTGTAGTCAGAGATGTACATATGAGTTATTTTGTTTTCAGTTTCTTTCTAGAGAAGAATTGTGGCAATATCGGTTATATTTATATTTTCTTTTCCCCCAACTCATAATCATTGTTCTACAGCTTACTTTTAAATCGCAAGCATATGGCAATTGGTTTCCAGTGTCATCGGAGTGAGGGAGAGTTCATGTATGAAACGTTAATGGTGATATAGTGATGCATTCATCACTTCAAACTAAATATTACTACATTTCAGATTGCTTTCTCCATTTCAACATGATTGTTTGCTAACATTATCATGAGAAACTAGTAAAGTTTGGACCTTAAGGGCTTACCATATCATCCTTTTCCAACTTTCATAAGCACAGCTGGTGGGGGATCTGGGGCTGGGGGGGCGGGGATACGTGAACAAGAATGAGAGAAATATAACCCTAAATGGTTGACATATTTGAGCAAGAAAAATTGTCTTCTCTTTATTTTTATTTGAAAGGAGGGTGGGGTGGGGTGGGGTGGGGAAGTACCTCTAAATTAGTGTTCATCTTCTAAGCAATTTGTCCTGAATTTGTGTGATGAAAATACATGAATTAAATGTGAGGCAAGGAGGATTTTTGTCCTTGAATTGAAAAGAAAATATGTACTGATCATGGAACAAGCAGAGAGAGAGAGAGAGAGAGAGAGAGTGAAGGGGGTTCAACAATCACCCCATGATGATCTGGCTGTCCAATAATGGGATCCTTCCCCCAACTACATTCCGTGTTGCTTTGAAATGAGGTTATTTTCCCCTGCTTTTACTCCTATGTTGATGCTACGATCTGTTTTATACCTCATCATTTAACGATGGGTTGATTGTGTCTTTTGATGGCATGCCAATGAGATACTGGGGGAAAAAATGTTGTGCATTGATGGCAAACTTCCCCTCTTTGGCTTGCTTTCTTTTACTTCTTTCCTTTTTATTTGATATCTGTTTATCTTTGTTGACATGTAAGGTGTACATAATTTATGTAAATAAAACAGAATTCCTTCCACTATTCCAATTGTAATGTTGCTTGAATTGAAAAATATGATCGGTGGTTTTTTATCCTGCTACTGATATATGCTATTAATTAAGCCAACTTCTTTAAAGGAATTTGTTGAAGTTTTACTCTTATTGATTCTAAGATCTGCGCTTGTAACAGCTTAAATACTCTTGATTGTGAAAGGGAAGATAGATAGGAGAACCTTTTCAAATTTCAAAATTTATGGAAGCTACAAATGCATAGATTTTATTGGAGATCATGTTTGTGTGATACTAAAATGGAATGCATGCAAGTGGGTGATATTCTTTCTCCTTTCCTCATTGTATCAATATTTTATTCTGATTTTGAGTTGCTCACTTATATACACACTGGAGTTCTGGAACCTTCTTAGGTATTTCGGCACCCTGTTTCACGCACCATGTTGCTTTTACTGGACACTACTATTAAATAAGCGGGTTTGATATATACTAATTCATCAGCATCTAATCATCTGGCTATTCCTTGTAAACGGAATATGGATTTGCCCTCATCTCATCATTAGATATATTGCTTTAACTTTTCAAAATACTTTTATGTTAGTTGCCTTTTTCTTAGTTTATCCCGCTACAGTGATTATATTTCAGCTTGAGATTTTAGGCTGCTAAATAAGTTGGACCAGCTCATCTTCGTAAACTGGTTACATGCCCTTGTTAAATTGTAACCAACTTTTCTTTTTGAGTCTCAGCTGATACAGTTAACAATTTTAGATTTCTTGTCGCAGTTGTTTTCAGTGCTGTCACTATAAGCAGCTCTCTGAGATTGTCAAAATTTTGATTTATTTAATTTGTCATCCAATCTTGCCACTAGCAAACTAGCCATTAAATTGCTGTCAAAAGCTTTATAGTTATGTGTAGCGTGCATTGTAACTGTCTGGGATTCCTCTGATTTGAACCCTGCTGTGGCCTGACCTCTTTTCATTCTGCTCAAATTAACTACTTTCTTTGAATCCAAGATTAATCCAATGGCTTATCCTTTTTTATCATGGAAATCAGAGTGCTGATAGATTTGACAAGTACTCCCCCCCCCCCCCCGGGTCATTCTCTCTCTGCATATATCACGGTATATATTTATTTGCGATTTTGTCTACTTCCATTTTGGTTTTGGTTTTTCCTTCATGAAGGTTTTTATTAAGGACAGGACGTCAGTTAAGTTCCACAGGAAGGACTTTGCTTCAGGTTCTCCCTGTACAAGTATATGTTAAGTAAAAGTCTTCTGAAGACTTGTGTGTGTGGTGCTGAGCTGTCAAATATATCTTGTCTTGTTTTTATTGGATAGCTTCATAACAAAGGCCTAAAAAATGTACTTATATTTTGTCATTTTATTAAATAAAATCCTGAAAGTGTTACTGTTTTTGAAATTTGTAATTTGAAGCCCTAAATGGTGAGCTATGCGCATCTTAAAAAAATTAGCTGGAAGCTACATTATATGATATATGATACTCAAGTTTAATTCATTTTGATATCATCTAAAATGTGCTTTAGAAGTTTTGCTGTCTATTATTTTGCACCTAATGGGCTTGGATTGGATAATCTGGACCTGTTTCCTGATACCAAGTGAGATGCAGCAAAACGAAAATTCTCATATTGATGCACTGAACTTCCACCTGCTGAGCTCAGTTGATTACGACATGGTACAATCAAATGATTTTTAGCTTGCTTCCGGTGAAGAGCTGGCATAGTATATCTAGTTTGTATCCACTTTAAACAGGTTGATTATGTGTCACGGTTTCAATGAAAAACAATTTTTATCTTGCAGTCATAAATAACAACTGCGTCAGATTGACTCTGCAGTTTTTGATGCACCTGGTAATGTATTTTGTAGCATGTAATTGCAGGTCAAACGAGGTAACATCCCAATCACAATTTCAGTTTAAGAGATTTCCATTTTGGTACCTATTTATCATTGACTTAGTTCTTAAGGAAACATAATACTCAACAATAATGATGTTTCTATATTCTTAATTCTGAAGGTCGGTGGCCTCTGCCAGTGAGTTATTGTCTGTCCTAACTGTTTGATGATGGCCTGAATATTTATTTATATAAATATAAGTTAACTGCTCAAATGAAGCACTATCTCATTCCCGATTTCAGTTTTAAAATACTCCCATTTTGGCAGCTAAAATTTATCATTGACTGTAGTCCTCAAGGAAACTTGATGCTCAACAATGATAATGTTTCTATATTCTTATTCTATAGATCAGTGGCCTCTGCCCCTGAGTTATTGTATGTCCCTAGTTGCTTGATGATAGCCTAAATACTTATTTATATGAAGAAGTAATTAAGAAGTATTAATACTTCTGTAATCAGCTACATTTTTCACTTGCTTTTGTTCCTGGCATGAAAGAGTTGCGAAATGGAAGACTGTTACTGTCATGAGAGTTCAGTTGATGTTGACTATGATGCTGCTTCTGGGTTCACAAAATCTGTCACAGCAATATGCAATTAACGAGGTGGATCTGAAAATAATGCCCCAGGAATAATACTGGAAGTGGAAGCATTGACTGGATCAAAAGGAATTGAACTGTCCATTTTATTCTGTTCATTTGTTTAGGCTTTTAAAAACCCTTTCTTTTGGACTTGAGGGTGCTTCATTGGGGGTTTTGTCTCCTTAGGCCAGGCAAATATAATGACATCTGTACCATAATCCAAATATTCGAGTATTTCTCTTTCATACTTTCTTTTATTACTAGCATTGTATTTCTCTCTTTTATCTACTCTTTGTAAATAAAGACGTGTGTTGGGAAAAAATTCATCTTTTACGTATTTATTACTTTTAATTAATTTTAACTGTTTTTTTTAACTATATAATTTGGTTATCAAGCTCTTCTAAAAAGAACTGAAAAGAGTATTATGTATTTGTTTGGTTTAGGTGATCCAAAATGGATCTCATGCCCATTGTTATTTATAACTGCATAGATTTGATGGACCGAATTAATTAGATGCAGAACATAAGCTTGATATTAATTAATCTTGTAACTATGGATAAAATAATTAGTCACTTGATATAAAAACAAAAAAAAAAAAAGGGTTTAACTTAGGTTAAGGGTTTAGGTTTTGATTTTAGTTTTTATATTTTTTTTGCACCATTTTTTGTCTCTCTATTTTGTTTATGCTGTTCAAAATTTGGTCTAATTTGATGAATGAGTTTAATAATGTTAATTATTAATGAGGCATTAACACTGTTAAGAGGATTAACGTGGACTGCTGACCAAATTGTGGCGGATTAAATTTAATGATCATATGATGCTCACACCGGGTCCAGCTTTGAAGTGAGGGGCCCACTCAATCAATGGGTGTCAATAAAATCAAACCTACATTTTGTATGGTTCATAAAAATTCAACAAATGGTTGGCAAAAAGAAAATAATAAAAATAAAAATTTAACAAATAAAAGAAAAGAAAACTCCGATTTACAAGTTTATATTGCGTCAGCCCGGTGGAGACCGATCGTCATAAATAGCGTAAAATATTTAAAAAAAATAAGGGGGAAAAAATCTTTTTCAGTTTCTAATCGTTCAAGTTAGTTGGATCAATTGCTGATGTGAGGATGATTGTGAATATTCCTTTTATTTTTCTGATGCATCATCATGATTACCAGGGAATAGAAAAAGCTTATGATGCAACTTTACTTCAGAAGTTTCCACTCAGAAGTGCTCGACACCTAAAAATTTTTTACATACAAATTTATTCCAAAAATTTAAAAGTAGAGCTATTTTGCCTCTTTATCATTAAAAATGTTGATGATTAATGTTACTCCTCCGGTCCTTAATGTAAGACCCATTTAATTAATTGATTAAATTAAAGAAATTAGGTAAGTTAGTTAATTATAAGAAAAGTGACACATTTTTCCTAAAACACCATCTTTTTTAATACCTCCTCTCCCTCTTCTATTTGATTATGGTTGAGGGAGTATCTGTAGGGGTAATTTAGAGAAAATTGATAAATATGATAAATGGATCTTATATTTAGGACCAAAAACCAACTCAAAAATTGGGTCCTATATTAAGGACCGGAGGAGTACTATTTAACAGTCAGGGTTAATTTTTTAACAAGAAGAAGTAAAATTATTGTGGTTTAAAATTTTTGGGATAAATTTGCATCCAAAAAAACTTTTGAGTGCCCAGCACTTTTGAGTATAAACTTTCAGAATAAATTTGCACAATAATCTAGTTAAAAAAAGAGAAAAAAAATCATCTTTTTCATGTTAAAGAAATTGCATCTATTAAAAAAAAACAAAAGAAAGTAGTAGTGCTTTTTTTAAAAAAAAAAGCAGAACAAATAATAATAGTATGAGGTAGTAACAAATTCTTGGTTGAGATGGTAAACGGTCTTACTTTCGTAAGAAGTAAAATATAAATATGAGAAAAGTATACTTATTAGGAGGGTTTTAATCTTAACGCTCTCAATCTAACAAAGATTAGCCTCAAGTTTAAAATGATTTAAAGATACTCTCATTTATTCCAGAAATAAAATAATAGTATAAGGTCATATGTAAGAAGTAAAATATAAATATGAATTTTGAAAAGTATACTTATTGGGAGGGTTTTAATCTTAACGCTCCCAATCTAAGATTAGCCCCAAATTTAAAATGATTTAAGGATACTCTCATTTATCCCAAAAATAAAATAATAGTATGAGGTGATATGTGAGATCCAACTCACAATCTCTTATTTTGAAGAGATTCATGCCAGATAGGTTATATGATCATCGGCACTAATAATTAAAGAACTAGATCGGAGTACGCGGTTGGAGCAATTGAACCATTGATCGAATTCAATAACGACTTAATTTGGACTGAAAAAATTGAGCTGGATAGAACTAGAATTCAAAATCAAACAGAGAATCAAAACGGTTTTTAAAAAATTGGACAGTTTTATGGGCATAACGAAAAATGCTGAAAAATTTAATAAAAGCCTGAAAAAATAAAAATAAAAGATTAACCCTATCAAAAAGCCCAATATATTTCTAATCAACTTGGAGTCATATGGCGTGATTTTATTGAAAATTATATACACTATGATGCTATTATGCTGATAACTAAATTCATTATGAATTTATCTCTTATATATATATATATATATGTATATACGTATTTTTTATTAAATTTTTATTTAATTATTATGTCATCGATTGAATCACTGATCCAACCGATTGGACCTAAAATTTCAAACGTTTAGTCTCTGCGGTTTGATGTTGGGTTGACTTTTAAAACATTGATTGACACGCAGTTTATGGATGCTAATGTAAAAAAGAAAGAGGCTTTTAAATGAGGAGTCTAGTAATATTGCAATATTTGACTTTGGCAAAACCTTTAAATCTTTTCAATAAGGAGTTTTCCAGATCTCTCCTCTTGATGACAAAAAAAGAAAAAAACAATATTCAGGAAATCAGATAAGTTTGTTTATACAGGATTGAGTTTTTCTCCATTTTCTATTTTTTAATTAAATTGAATAATTATTAAAACCTGCAAATTGTACATGCCTTTAACTAGTTTCTAGTCATGTAGTTCTTGTGAATAGGTATTACTACTATATAGCAACTCTGGATATTAATAGAAGAGTTAGATAACTAACTTAAAAAAATTAATAAAATTAGTTAGATCGGTTATTTATCAAAACAAATGTGTGTTAGACTCTCTAAATTTTTCTATTTATAATCATGTGCATTGGAATACCCCTTGGTAGGATTTCTCCTATAATCAATAGGGATATTTTGAGAAAAATAAGAGACAAAATAAACTAAGATTTTATATTTAGAGTTTAATCCAACTAACTTTTATTTTAAGCACTGAAGTTACTATATCCTTAGGATACTTTTGACTTTGGTTACAGCCTGGAAAACACAGAACCTAATGCCACCAAACTTCAAACAACTTTAATACTCCGGTCAAAAACAACTTTAATATGGAAAGACTAATTCACAATAATTATGGCAGTCATTAGTTTTAGACCTACTTGTATTGTCCTGTCCTCCTATGAAAATACAGCCATATATCCATCCATCTCTCCAATAATTTATAAATAAATTATGAATTGTATGATACTCTCTCTGATATTTTAATACAAAAACAAAAAAGAACTCTTTTGTATCGACGGCCTTTCACATTGAAATACAGCTATTGCACCAAAGTGTTATAATATATAACAAAACCTGTGTTGGAATTCCAAAGCCATATAATTGGTATCATTGTTAATTAATTCCCTTCCTATATACACATATATAATAGTAATTCAGAAACATCTTTTAATTATGAAGATGATAGTGGGAAGGCTCCATTACGGTTGCCAAAGTTAACCTGCGTGAGATGTACTTCTTGAGGAAGAAGACGATACTTAATTCCAAGGCTCTCAAAGATCTTCTTCATCTCCAGCAAAAGCTCCGATCGCCGGGCAGTACGCTCGCCGAAGTTTTGATGATTAATGGTGTGTTGGACGCAGAGTGCCATCTTCAACTTGTCCATGTTCTCTATCTCTTTCACTATTACTACGTGTTTTGGATTCCAGTACTTTGGTTTGCTCTCAATGTACCTGCATTCACATAAATTTTATCCTCTTTAATTTGAGAGTGTGTGTTAGGAACACAAGTTTAAAAATATAAAACAATCCCAAATGACTTGCCTATTGAACCGAGTCAAAGAGTGTTACTAGTATAAGTACAAAGAGAGAACCCATATAAAAAGAATGGCCCTATTAGGTGGGAGGCGTGTTTGGAACACACACAAGTTTAAAGAGATAATCCAATTCCAAATGAGTAGCTTAGTAAATTAGAAAAGGTTTTACGACGACAATGTCAAGGGATAGCTCATCTAAAAAGACTAGCCTTATTAGATGGGAGGCTCCTAGGTATGGGACTCAACAATGCATTAGCATGCTCCCTACTCAGAAGCAAATTAAATATGACCAGCAGATCCATTGCACTATTGTCGATTATTAAGATCTTTTGTGGGTAGCCTTTTTCATGAACACCAGCATCTTAATAAAAGAACTAATGTTACGTACACGAGTTCAAAGGGCCATCTCAAAAGACTAGCTTATTACATCAAAAAACTACTTGAACTTATGAAGCCTCACTTCTCTTGTGAGGCTATCCAACATGAAACTCATAACAAATAGCCCTTTACAAAGGGAGAACTCATATGAAAACAATGGCCCTATTGGGTAGGAGGCATGTTACATACAAGTTTAAAGAGATAACCCGAATTTCAAATAACTAGCTTAGTCAGTTAGAAAAAGTTTTACAAGCACAATGTCAAGGGATAACCCATCTAAAAAGATTAGCCCTATTAGATGGGAGGCTCCTAGGTGTGGGACTCAACAATGCATTAGTAAGGCTCTCAGAGGTGAAACTCATAACAGTGCGTCCTACTTAGAAGCAAATGTTACCAGCAGATCCATTGCACGATTGTTGGTTATTAAGGCCTTTTGTGGGTAACCCTTTTCATGAACACCAGCCTCTCAATAAAAGAACTAATGTTACATACACGAGTTTAGATAGGAAAAACCATCTCAAAAGACTAGCTTGTTACATCAAAAAACTACTTGAACTTATGAAGCCTCACTTCTCTTGTGAGGCTATCCAATATGAAACTCATAACAAAGAGCCCTTTAAAAGCCACATTTCACTGGTGATCCTCGTGATATGGAACTCAAAATAGTGTATAGAACTTTAAATCCAAGTGCCTAAGCTGAAGCTAAAAAAAAAAAATTAAAGAATATATCCAATTAATTTCATATACTTACGCTTGAAAGGCCTTCTTGAGGGCAGTGATATTGTCCATAGAGGTAGAGGCATCAATAGTGAATTCCACAGCGTCAGCCATATCTGGGCTTCTTCTGAAATTGCTTATTGGTTTCGTCAGAAGAACTGAATTCGGATAATATATTTTCTCGCCGTCATATCTTAAGAACACTGTCGTCAATATATTCATCTCTTCTACAATCATCTGCACAACCACACAAAAACTCAACATTATGTCTTCATAATTTAAAAAAAAAACAAAATGACATTTTCAATTATATAGGAAAAGCAAATTAAAAGAAGGTCAAGTATACTATCTCCGCTCATTAATATATGACTCAGTTGATTAATTTGAAGATCAAGAAAGATGTTTATCATTTTTTCCAAACTAGTTTGCATGGCTTATAAATAATATATAATTTAGTAATATATATAAGTATTTCAGATAGATCATATATTATAACATCGAAATTTATTATGATTTAATAATTTATTTAGTTTTTTTAATCTCTCCAAATTATTTAATGGTCAACTAGAGGTAGTAGTAAATTAAGTAGGTATGTATACCTGAATGTTATCAATGACACAACGGTCTCCGACGTCGAAAGGGTGCATGATGAAGACGAAGATGATGGATTCAAAGACAGTTTTGCACATATTTTGGAACACAAAACCTACGAGCAACAGTTGAGAAGTGACGACAAAGATGACTTTGGTTGTGGCCAAACCCATCACCAACAGAGACATCACAGTTATGATCACTATTACAATCGCACTCGCCAATTTGTGTAGTTGTCGAACTGCTGTTTTCGTATCGTTTAATGAATGTGCCAATGCTTTTCTCTCAACGTACGCATATACCTGCAATATATATGGATGATGTTTCAAGAAATTATCCTCTATATCCGATCCTAGATGCAGGAACTAATTAAGGAGTTTGTTGTAATTTCAAATGTAACAAAACCTCAAATTCTTCCTATTTATTGCACATATTAATGATATTTCCGTCGATTGAGTAGTTTCAATATAAATGATTATGAGGTATTTTAAGAAAATCAATATTTTTTTTTATAAAAATAACTAACTTAACTGATTTTTTGAATATTTACAGATTAATTATTTAGCTCATATTTAGAATTAGAAAGGATACTATACTTACAGATCTTAGCTTCCCATATGATTATTGGATATATTTAAATTGCCAAATTAATCCTCGAGTTAAATATATATAAGTAACATATATAAACTATATGCGTCTGCAATTAATGGGGGAACCAACATCTATGATATGCATGTGCAATAATTAAGTTTGAGTTTTTTTTGAATGAAAAAAATATATGTATGCATATACGTATGTATGGGAGAGTTCCTCCTGTTTAATTTCAAATATAATAAAGTTCAAACAGGGATTAATTAGTGAATATAATATTACCACAGGAATGCTTTAGTTAATAAATTAAAGAAGCTAATTATTGATTATAAGGCATACCACCCAATTTCGAAATGAGGACTTGGTAATTTTTCCAGTTTCAAGTGCTCCTCCAAATAAAGGAAATATCATGTACACTTCGTCTCTCTTCAAGAATCTCAGTAAATCTTCTTCCTCTATGTGCCTGAAAAACTTAATTAGTACAATCCAAACGAATTGATCATACATACATATATACGAACATGCATACATACATCCTCTGATACTTCATTATAAGATTAAAGGTAGAAATGAGTATTGAGAAATACAATTCTAGGTAAGCGACATCATTTCTGACTATGAACATTCTCATTTGTCAAGATTTCATAGAGTTACATGGTCATTTTTTATATTGTATTTATATATAAGACAATTGAAAGTTGCACAATTGATGAAGTCATGAATAACGGGATTTATACCTTTAGTATACATCCACGCAAAACATGGGCTTGATTTTTAGTTAGAAATAAAATCTGATTAAGTCTATATAGTGCTTATTTTGGTGCCTCCAAAACTCAGAATTTGGCTGATCAAGAACTTAATAGCTAGGGTCAATGGAAGGGAGGGGATCGGAGAGGAAAAATCTTAATGAGCTCATCAATTTAAAAAATTGGGAAAGTAGAGTTTTGAAATTTTAATAGAGAGAAGTTATAAGATCATAAAGATTAATAAAAATTAATTAAAACCTTTTAGTCTCGCTTCTTTAATTTTTTAAATCGAGTTCATTAAAATTTTCTATCCTGCCGTTCCCCTGGTACCTAATATACCTAATATAGGGTTAAAAGATCAGCCCAGCCCAGAGAAAAAAAAATGAGTCAGTTATTTGACTTTGATCTTTGAATGAAGCCTAAAATCACCGTACTATTCATGAATAGTGTAGCTTCCTAAATTGCTTTGATTAGCATGCATTTGGACTATAAACTAGAAAAGAATCCAAAATTAATTTATTTTATTAACATTTTCATGATTTGAGGGCAACTTCTCTGAATGCAAAAAAAAAAAAAAAAAGCGTTCTCTAATCTTAATAACTGGCTTCCCACGCCCAAACTCCTGGAGACGTTGAAATTAAAGTTTTGAAGTCAAACTTCTTAATTTTCCTTTTTTAAAAAAAAATCTAACCCTATATATGGAGGCAAATTTTTGTTACATATATTTCGATAGTATTTTATAACAGCAAAGAGTTATGAATCTGTTCATGACAGGTGGGAAATAAATAATAATGTTATTTTACACCGATTTTTTTTTCAACTGATACGAAAATGTTTTCTATATTTAGTAACTAATGTATAAAAGTTTCACTTTTCTATAATGGTTGTTTTCATCTCAGTTGCAGAGTTGGTGTAAAAATTTTATTTTATCCAATGTAAAAAAATTTTACTGGAGTAAAATAAGCATCTCTAATTCAATCATTGAAGAGAACTCGATCAATTGATTTTCTAATTTTACAACTAAGCTTATGTTATTCATAACTGAACTATTGAAATTTATAATTAAACTTTTAAGATTGACAACTGACCTACGTACTGTTGTTATAGTAAGAGTATTTTCATCCATTTATTATTTTGAGTTGGTACAATTTTTATTATTAAAATTTGATCTTATTTTAATTTTGGTTCTTGAAATATGAAACCATTATTTTTTTTCGTCCTTAAAATTTATTCTGTCTATAAACATTAGTTCTTGTGAGCTACGTAGATTTGAAATTTCAAAAAAAAAACATTGGTTTCAAAATTTAGAAACTAAAATCAAGAGAGGTTGAATTTTAAGAACTAAAGATTATGTTAACACATTGTTTTTTTCCTTAACTAAAACCTCTAGGATTCATTTGGTATAGAAGAAATGGAAGAAAATGAAGATAAAATTTTTTTTAATGAGCTCGATTTAAAAAAAATTAAAGAAGTGGATTAAAAATTTTTAATTAATTTTGATTACTTTTTGATATTACCTTTTCTTTTCATTAAAATTTTAAAACCCACTTTCTTTAATATTTTAAATAGAGCTCATTAAATTTTTTTTTCTTTTTTTTATTTCTCTTTTACCAAACACCAACCTTAATCTTTCCCAAATAAACTCCGACCAATTGACACTTTGGAAGGACACAATTCCCACCTAAAATGGGCCTCAGGCCTCACTAAAATATTAAAAATAGCCAGTGGGTGTCAATTATTATTATTATTATTTTCTTTTAGAAACAAAAGTGAGGAAGAGATAAGTGCCATGCCTACTTTGGGAGACGTAAACTACAGATGACACTATGACAGCAAAAAAGTTGAATTAAAGTAGACAACAAGAGACGGGAAGAAAGTGGGAAACGCCCATAATGTCATCCCAAATATTATGAAAGAGACTTCCATAGTGTCATAACAACCATCACTCATGTGAATTTAATATTTTACTTATTCATACCTATGTGCTGTTGAATAAGATTTAATGAGCACTATTATTTTAGTTAAGGGTAATTCTTAACTTTTTTTTAGCTAAGGTTGAAACTTTCAACTTTATTTAAAGAAAATCAAGTATATGTTCATTGAATTAACCCAATTACTATTAATAAATACATATTATATATTTTAATAATTTTGTTTATTACCTACCTCATGACCAGAATACTCCTCTGGTGTCTAGTATAAAAGCTAGTTGAAAGGTTAGATTTAATTCTAAATATAATATCTTAATTAACTTTATCTTTATATTATATTTTTCATTTTCTCTTCAAACTAATTTATCTAACTTATAAAATATATATAATAGTACCTCTATAATACAAATTGCATTATATAGTGAATCTGGTATCAAGAATAAGAGGTAGTATAATGTTGTATGAACATTTTAGGGATATTATGTCATGTTTCTTGCAATTGATTAATTTATTTAATTTTTTTATATACCCAACTTAGTTAAAAAAATTAAAAGAAAGTCCTTATTAAAAATTTTATTGGTGAAGATAACCTAAATTAAAGCACTGATGTATGTATATTAAACTACCCATGTACAAAATTTACAAAATATCAATACTTTCTATGTATAAAAATTATCAGACACCTTCTGGCTAATAAAATTTTCAATGAGAAGCTTTTGATTTTTAGGTTTTCTCAATTAGTTAAGTAGTTCAGCAACCTTTTTGATAGGATTTATAATGTAGGTTGAATACTAATATCGAAAATAATGATGATAATTATAAAAATAATAATAAAACAGTTGGAGCAAATTAATGGCAGAAGAAAGAAACATACTTGGCTCCATCCTTTGCAACATTCTTGAATATCCTCTGAGCACAAGTCCGAGCCTCCCACTCGCTATTAATCTCCGACTCGGCGTCGGCGAAATCGTCCACCGTCCTCGAAATCGTCGACAGTCCCGACGACATCACGTAGCTCACCAACCTCTTCACGCTCCACGCCGTCGCTCTCCCATCCATGCTCAGCCTCTTCAGCTTCTCTATGTCGATCCTTCTCGACCCATCCCCTTTCCTGGACCTCGACTTCAACGGCTGAGACTTCTCGTACCTCAGCCTCGCCGGCATCGACTTCGACGCCTGCAAGTGCCGGCGCGGCAGGTCTCTGTCCTCCTCGTCCAACGGCGGCCCTGAAAGTGCGTCCAACACGTAGTGATGGAAAACACTCTCTTTCATTCTGTCAAAGAACGCCGCGACGTGGAACGACGACGCTAGAACCTTAACGAGAACTATTTTTAATAACCATATGGTTGCTCCGACGAGGATGGCGATGAGAGCCCTGAAGAACTTCTTGAGGACTTTGTTTTTCTTATGAGCGTCGTGAAACATAATCATCCATGCGATCAAAACTAGGGCTAGCCAAACGCAGTTCTGAAAACTCTTTCGAAGACCGTATACGAAGTAGAGTACTTTCTCCCTCAACATGAAGTTACGTTCGATGAGGAAGACGAGGATACGAACTACCCATCCGGAGACGAGACGGCCACAGAAGATTACCATCACTAACAAGCACCATTTCCAGATTTCTAAGCCCCACTGAATCTTGTGTTTGAGAGATTTAATAGTGAGAGAACATACCAGGCAAGTCATGATGATGAGGAACAAAGTCCATTCCAGTAAAGCCCTCTTGTTGATCTTCCGCTTCCTCTTCTTTCTGCACTTCCCGGTTGCTTCGTCGGCGTCGTCCCAGTCGTACTCGTCTCCGTTTTCGAACCAGTAGTCGTCGTCGTCTTCGGTGGAGGATAAGTAGGTGGTAGGGTTTTCTGGTAAGGGCGGCTGGTGATCATCTGATTCAGGGATGGGATTGTACGACGCTGGTTTTGGGGTTGAGATGGGGTAGTTGGTCTCCTCAAAACGCGACTTTGGTTTGGAAAAATTAAGGCGTTTTAGTGTTCTGTTTCTGGGATAATAGGGTTGATGAGAGAGAGTAGTATTATTGGTAGTGGGGGGTTCTTGATGAGGAGAATGATCTTGTTTAGGGTTTTGGTGTTGATCCATGTTGATGACGACGTGGTCACTGTTAGTTTTGGGGGTTTCGAGTTTGTGGAACTCCATGAATGGAGTCTTTGAGCTCAAGAGAGAAAGTGATAGATAGTTCTGTGTGTGAGATATGTGAAATGAAATGATAAGGCTTCTTTGCCTGTTAAGGAAATGAGGAAAGCAATAATCATGGAGGGCCTTCCATGCTAAGTGACAAAACAAGATTATACAACCACTGCTTGTAATTATAAGATTTCGTTTGTAAACTATATAAATGAGGTTTTATAATTAGGAGCGGAGGTAATATGAGTTTTGTTTACGACATACTCCTATGATGCTGCTATTCATACCGTAGAAAGATAGAGAGAGAAACTTTTGAAAGTATAATTTTATTTTTTATTTATTATTGTGTTGACTTTTTTTTATACAATATAATGTATATTAAATATGGATATAGTTAGACGTTATTGAATTTTAATGTAAAGTTAAGAAAATTTAATGTTTTTTTTTTTTGCTTGTACGAAATTTGTTAGAAATAACTTATATATAAAACTAGCTAGAGGAGCAATTAGAGGTTTTTATTTTTCATTTGTTTTTATAATTATCTTCGGTAAATTTGAATAATTAGAGCAAGACTTCAAAATCGAAACGATGTGATAACGATGGCGTTTCTATTTCGATGAGGCTTTTTCTCTGTACCTTTTAATGTATCTTTGACAAAACTTGAGTATTGTATTACTTTAAGGCCAAGGTTCATAACATAAATGACATGTAATGATGGTGTTTCATTAAAATAATGGCAGGTTTATTTGGGGAGAAACTTTGCCGCTCTTTGTGGGGTAGGCCGGCCGCATCTAATTAATTTGCCCTCATTAAAAATTTTATTTTGTATTAAATATAAGAGTTAATTAAACTAGTTATTTATAATAAATGTGTATTAGCTTTTTTATAATACCCCAATTTTAATTGTTACATTAGATAGTGCTCCCTTAATAATGAAAAAATTTCTTAATATGTATAATTAATAGAGATATTTTAAAGGAAAGTATTATAAATTTGAGAAACAAAATTAATTGAATTCTTATATTTCCAATTAATATAGACCTTTTATTAATTCTGAGATTTAGAACCGGATAACTACTAAAAGTTGAAGTGGGGTAGAACCAAGGCATTATTGGATGGTCTAATTAAACAATGTGGTATATTTTCTTGCAAAGAAAAGTATGAACAAAGTTGAATTTTTTTTTAAAAAAATTCAAACAAATTTAATGAGTTAACTATCATTTTATGTTTCCATGAATTAGGTAGAAGTCATTTATATGTGGGCAAGAGGAAGTACATAATACAGAATTAAAAAATAACTATAAATTGTTAAAAATATTAATAATTAAAAAAATAGAATTTTAAAATATTAAAATATTAACTATCCAAATTTGACTATTTAACATTTAGGATGGGTTTGAACATAGAAAATATAAATGCTTTCTTTTATAAAAAATGAGAAATTTTATTTCTAAAAATACTTTCTCATTCCAATCCCTTTTCCATTTAATTACTAAATTGTGCTAATGTTTTTCTATAGGATGCTTTTATTAAAAAAGAAAGAAAACTTAAATCTTACCCATTCTTTCATTAAAGTGATTTTTAAACCTTATCCATTACCTAATGTTAGAATTTGTTTTTATGTAGAGTGTTCGCCTGTTTTTATGCTAAGAAATTAGAAACAAAATCATAAGCTTGCTTTCGGAGGAGACTCATCTCTCATTGTACGTAAACAACATATGCTGAATTTTATTCAAAAAAACATAAGTTGAAAAAAATTAAAGAAAAAGCACCTGATTTTTTTCCAAAGAAGAGAAATCACATATCCCTATATTATAACATTATAAATTTTTCTTTCAATTTATTAAATTTTTATCAAAATAAAACTCAATGAAATTTTAAGCTGGCAAACACAAATTACAGGTAATGCCCGTTTGGATTCTTTTTCAATTATATAGATAATAAAAATATTTGTTTATTTTCAATAAAGCTTTTGATATTCTTGTTATTCAATTTAAAATTTATGTATTGTCCTAGAAAGGAAAAGCTAATTCAGTGCTCAAACTTTTGTACTTTCAATACTTTTTTCTGATTGAATTTAATTATATACTTAGTTTGAATTTTTCTTAATTAAATAATGCCATCAATGTAATTTATTTATGTTTACTTGGACATCCACCACTCAAAAAATATGTTTAATGCCGACATTGTCAAAACAGAAACATTTAAAAGCATTTTTTTATGGTCAATGGCGAAACAGCATTTTATTAATTTCAAGAATTAATAATCAACAAAATTTGGATGGAGAAGCAATTTCGAAAATTCATTCGGTCAAACAAAACCATATAATAATGATTTTTTATGCTTTTAAACTAAATGTCCATTTGATAAAGGAGAATAGAAAGATCCAAGAGAATATGTTAATCTTTTTTGTCATTAATAAAAAAATGTTATCAGAAGTATAAAAAGTAAAAACCCATCATCTTTAGGGTTTAAGTGCTGTCCAGATTTATTGCCATTAATTAATTATTTAGAATAATCTAGTACTCAGTGTTAGTGGCTTAGTGCTCACAATAAAATAATTTAAAAATAAAATGCGCTTGGTACTTATCGATGCCACTACTACTATGGTTTAATTAGTACTAATAATTATGGTAACTTTTCATTTAAAAAAAAAAAAAAACAAAAAGGAGTATTGGCATAAACAAAGCATGCAATGACTTGCTAGCACGCGGAGCCATAAAATTTCTGTGAAAAATATGAACTATCATGACATTGATGAAAGCTAAAAAGCACGTGTTGATTGTTGCTCATATTTAGTATCTAATAATATTTTAAATATAATTGTCTCTGATAAAAGAATACTTGTATTTATAAAAAAACATGCCTTAAAAGCTCAAATATATTCCAAACACTATCCCAACTATATATATTATTTTGTTAGATATAGGTATTGTTCTACTGAAAACAAACATACTCAAGATATGAGACATTAAATGAGAACACTTTTTTTAATAGAAATTTAAATCTTAATTCACTACGTTACGAGAGAACCAAACCTTTCTATTAGATTCAACTCCTATCAGCGAACTATCTTTTATTTAAAGCATCAACACAAAGACTGGTGTGAAGGAACACCAGGCTTGTCTGTGTAGTTTTTTGGGCAGATTCATCACAGTTTTCTCCCCCGCTAAAAACGAGATAAAAAACCAGAAATGAATAAGTGGTAAAAGGACGTAACTTAGGAGTAGTAGAGAATCAATGGCCAGGCTTTTCTGTGTGTTTTTGGGGCGGTGTAACGTGTTTTGGACTTCTTTTCGGCGTAGTTTGGATGGACTCAATAATAGACTCTAGAAAAGAGGCTAGAATCTGTTTTAAATTCACTGTGCTTCTCACTACTGGTGATTTGACTTATTATGTTTATTGAGCGTAAGAAGAAAAATTTAGATAACTTCTTATGAATGTCCACTAAGTGTAAGACCAACACGAATTGAATCTAGTAAAAAAAAATAATTTCTCATAATATGACAAATTAATATTTAATTTTTTATTAAGAGAGCTGCTTATATTTAGTATATGACAGTATGTTGAACATGATTGTTTACAATAAAAGGATATCAGTACTTACGGAAAAAAAACTAAACATAGTAAGTAAATTACTCTAGGTTGTTCAATTATTCAATAATCATAGTCATTTTTTAATAAATGATCACTATAACTCAGACTCAATAGAACTTGATCAATCTTTTTCTATCTTCGATCAATCGAATAATGTTTGAGACCCAAGATTTTATTTTATTATCAATCTGGTTGTTTATTTATTGTCGAATTTTTGAGTGAGTACGTTACTTTCAAGTTTTTAAGCAAGCAATGACAAGTTCATGCTATAAAAATATGCATATAACAAAATGGCCCCATGAAATGACCTCCAGGCCAGGGGATGAGGTCTCCAGAGATTTAACTGATGGCACATAGGCTGCTCCGGTAATTGGTGGCAGTGGGAGCAGTTGTATAAATTGAATATTTCTTTTTATTTTTACGAAGTGCATCCTATTTCAATCGTTGTCAGATGCTTAATATGAGTTTTTTTTTTTTTTTTTTTAAGAGGACCTTTTCACGACACCTAACCCCATTGATATTAATTGAATATTTCAACGGTATTTATATGCGTGCTCCCATCTTTTTTTAATTGTGCTAATTTGCTACATCTAACTGTATCAATTGAAAATTTCAATAGTTACTCTTTTGATTTTATTTATAAGATATTTCTAACATTTTTCCACACAAACTAATAAAAACTTTAAACTATATAATTCTCTATTAAAATATAGTAAATTTTCAATTTTATCTCTACTTAATATATACACTTTTAAAAAAGATAATTATTTACACTATAATAAATAAAAGATAATATATTATGTTTATTGTAAAAATTTAATAAAGTAACCTATAGATAGGATAAAAATGTTTTTTCTCTGCATTATAAATAAGACTAGAAAAGTATATGTCATTCTTCCTTTTTTAATTGTGCTAATTCATTCCCCTCAATATTAATAAATGATTTCGATTCTAGAGGCAGTGTGTACTAAAAAAAATATGGTTGGGAAAAATCTCCGTTACGGTGTTTGGTAATACTCTGAGAAATTAGTCTCTTATTATTTAGGTGGAAGGATACTTTATAACGAAAAAAAAAACAAATGATCACAATTCACAAGGGATTTAATTGAATGGCCTATGACATGGGTTGACAAAAGAATTGCCATGATCAAATAAGATTTTTATACGGATGCCAATTTAAAAGGCAGAATTGTTATAAAATCCTAATTGATAAACATAATTACTAAAAGTTTTAATAACAAACATAGCAGACTGTAATAATAAATTTTAAAATAATAAATGATAACTATTTTCTGATAATTAGGACTTACTAATAATTATCTGTTTTCCAGAACATCATTATCATTCTCCCTAATTTAATTGCCTCGGGACGGAATTACGAAATTACGAACTGCTAATTGAAGCATTGAACTATTGAAGTCACGCTCGCCGGCAGAAATTCCTATGACGGGGTTCTAATCGTTACGCACTCGGCCACAATGATTACCAAGCCAAGATCTTCACCGCGAAACTCTCCTCTTGCTTTTCTAATTCTCCTCCTTACATTATCCATTTTCTTTTGTTCATCTCAAGTACTCGCCAAGTCTCGTCGTGCAATCACTGTGTGTCTACATTCTTTCCCTAATTTCCCTCTCAATCTTGGTCGAATTGACACTTAATTGGTTGAAGCTGAGTTTTCATGCCGTTGTTTTGCAGGACGCTGAAACTAGGCAGAAGAAGCTTCAGTGCTACGCTGATATTGACAGGTGCTCCTCCTTTCCTGTTAGTTGATTATTATTTGTGTTTTAGTTGAAAGAATTTGGTACCCATTAAATGCAATTTTTGATACAAGTTGCTGTGTAATTTGTTGGGAGTAGTGGTCTGTGGGGTTGGCAATGCAAATCTTCGATGACATCAAGGGAGAATTGTGCTTTACGATGCCTTTCTCCGGCTTGCTATGAGCTGATCTATGAGAGTGATCCGGTGAGGCATGCTTTGTGAAATTCTTTATGCTAGAATCGAATTTCTAATGTTTTCTTCTTCGTACAACTGAGTAATACTCATTAGACTGGATTTTTCTTGTAGCTTGAAGAAGGAGAGAAGGATTTAACTCGGAGCCAAGAGTTCAAATACTGCATGCACAAGTAAGTTGGACAAATTAGGTGCAATTTGATGCTCAGAATTTTGACCTGTGAAGCGAAAGAGTACCCTGATTATTTTAATTTTTATTAAGAGTTCATACATTACCGCTAGAGTTTATACAAGTGTTCAAGTCGTGTAATGCATGGACTTCAATCGAGATTTTGTTATAGTTCTATATATATTTACTCTTTTGTCTAGTTCTGTTTTCATCATTATAAAGCTATTTTGACTTTCAAGGAAAGATGTATTGAATCACGTTGACATAGCCATTTCTGCTCTTGTTGTACTAAACATTTGTTAGTATAAAGTGTTAGTACAATCATTATTGGAGTTTGGGGTATAATGTGGATGAAACCTGCTTGATGTTATTGTTCCTTGTACGCATGCACCTAACTATTAGCTGCTTAGCTCCCACGGAAAGGACCTTGGCTATTGAGAAAAAGTGAGATACCTTGCGAGAGATTCTTGTGTTCTCCACTCCCGTATTCTTAGCAAGGAAAGTATGAATTTGGTTTGTTTAGTTTTTTCGTTATTTCTTTCTTGTTAGTGTTTTCACTCTATACTCTTTGGACGAGTCTAGCTTTGTGTTTGTGTTTCGGTGAATATTTCACACTCATATGTCTTATTGATGAAGAATCATTGCAATATATAGGCAGCCGGTTATCCCATATAGAGGAGAATAAGCCGGTGATTACAATTAACATTAATGAGCTAGAGTCAGGGAAGATAATCGGGAAGATAAGAAAGGAAAAGAACTGTTGACATATGCCTATAATCAAGACTAATAGGTAGGAGAGAATCGAGGGCTTTATTTCTAACACTTTGGCGTATAAATACTCAAGAAATAGGATGGTCTTATATAGTTCTTTGGATTTAAAAGTTTCCTTAACATCTTCCCTTTGTTGAGCAATCAAGGAGAGATCCTGTTTCGGAATTTAATTCAAGTATCGTAAGGCAGTAGGATGCTTTGGAAGAAATGCTTCTTGGGCTACCTACTTGCTCATAAGAAAATTCCAGTTCACAGAAACCATAACTCAAGTTGCATGTGAATTGATTGACAGACCAGACAAATGTTATTGGAAAGGATGAGAGATTTTATGGCTTTAACGTTTGAATTCCTTTATCTCAGACGTTGGTTGGTTTGAGGATCCCTTGTTGGTTTCGGATGAATGGAGGCCTACAATGAATTTGAACAATTTAATCATTCTAGCGATATGGTGATGGCCTATCAGTACAACTTTGGGGCTTCCATCATGGTGCCAATTACTTTAAACTGCAGCACTTCTGGTGAATGTGAATATGTGATTGGAGATATAAAGGAAGTGGACTGGTTATCATATTCTAACTAACAAAACAAAAGCATCTGTGGAGAGAATGAGAACCAGGAATCATCCTTTGGTTATCAGATTTTATAAAATACAACGACTTAGTTGATAGAGTTAGTTGGTGGCATGGTGGCTGGACTTAGGATCGGGAGTGAATGCAGACACCTGGAAGCCGAGGAATGCATCACTGAGTAAGAATTTGATCATGCAGTAAGAACACATGAACATTGGAAACCATCATGCAAATAGATATTGTCAAGGTAGGAATAATTGATGTTTTCCTGAAATGTGACATAGTGAATCATAATTGAATATGGGGTGTGACAGCATTAGTGGCAGTGCGTAGCTAAGTTTGGACATTATATACATTGAGTTTTGTATGGAACTACTTCTATCTTGAAAATTTTCAGATGGAGGGGTATAATAGTGTGAGTGTGTGTAGCCAGGTTCGTTTAACTGTTTTTCTTTTCTTTTCTTTTTTGTCCTCTTTGATTTGTGAGCTAGGCTTCTGCTGGTTTCTTTTTTCCTTTTGCACTTGACCAGAGCATGTTTGGTTTCCTCCCAAAAGTCAGTTTGACTTCCTTTTGAGATGGAATGCATAACTTTGTTGAACTTTCAGATGACTAGGCACTAGATTTCAGTCACTTACTGATGTGGTCACAGCAATGCTAGGTGGTTTGTTGTCTAATTTCAAGTTGATGAATCATTCTTATTCAAAGGAGCTTTATTTATTTATTTATTTATTACTTGCCTATGTTTCTGTTATAAGTTGGGGAAGGCTGTCAGCAGGTTATATTTATTTATTGCTTGTCAGTATGAAAGGACTATGCATGGTTTTAGGCAGTTGACGGAGATATAATAAAAGATAATTTTAGTCCTCCAAATATAACCTTGCCATCGGTGGGCTGTTTCAGGGGTCTTTTATATCACTTCATTTCATGAAAGTTTAATTTCGTTTTCAACATCATGGAATAATTTTTTCCTCAAAAGACTCTGTGGGATCCTTCTACAACTTCTGAAAGTTGAACTTGGACCAAAGTCAAACTTGAGTGCTATAATGATGCAAAAATCTTTGCGAGAGTTAGTTAATACTGAGGACAGCTTCAGAGCATCAAAATTTGGTTTCACCAAAATATAATTCATCTATTTAGTGGTCCATTCAACGAGACCTCCTGATCAGAACATATCTAAGGACTGGTTGTTGACAGAGCATGATGGTGTAGTGTGATTCATGTAGCCGACCCCACTTAGTGGGATAAGGCTTGTTGTTATATTTAGTGGTCCATTCATTGTTGATTATTGCCTCTAGTTGAAAAATTCTGTTTAAATATCACTTACCCTGTGATGTAAAGTATTCACGTCGGTTGAATTGGATGTGGAATCACAATGATCCTTCCATCAAAGCAAGAAATAATAAATTGAGTGGAATATTTTTTCCTCAAAAGACCGTGTGGGATCCTTTTACAACTTCTGAAAGTTGAACGTGGAACAAAGTCAAACTTGAGTGCTATAACGATGCAAAAATCTTTGCAAGAGTTAATTAATAGAGGACATCTTCAGAGCATCAAAATTTGGTTTCACCAAAATATAATTCTTTTATTTGGTGGTCCATTCATTGTTGATTACTGCCTCTAGTTGAAAATTTCTGTTTAGATATCACTTACCCTGTGATGTAAAGTATTCACTTTGGTTGAATTGGATGTGGAGTCACAGTGACCCTTCCATCAAAGCAAGAAATATTAAATTGTTTATTCTCTCAGTTAGGACAAGTACTTAATTCATTTTCTTTGGCCAAGGCAAGAAGTATCTTTTTCATTTTTGACCCAGTTGATCTTTTGTTTTGGGTAGAGTTCTTTTGACTTTCATTTGACAATACGACAAGCAACCTTTCACAAGAATCTTGTGAATTCTAATTCTCACTTGTATCAGCAATTTGACTTATCTATTGCCCTTCTTGGAGCAGATATGGATCGTCCACATTGCCATTTTTCTATTTTTTTAGATAGATTATATGTCTGATGGAAGTTAATAGACTGTTTTTATTCTTTTATTTATTTTAAAATAAAATATAAATAAAATTTTTTATATCTGGACTCCAATTTGGCTTCTCTGAACAGATCTACACCTGTTGGAGTAGTAAAGAGGCTAAATTGTGTGAAATATGTATGCATTATATAGGTGATCCTAAATGTATTATGAATTATAGTTCTAACAGGCTTCTTTACCCTCAACTCTCCATATTGCCTGCTTATGTGCTGAACTCTTATCATGACTTGACAACAAAGTTCTAGGGTTGCTTCCTTCAAAATGTTGCATTGGGGGATGGTCATCTTTATGAGCCTAAACTTTTCTTTTGGAAGCTGTTGTTTGTTTCTTGTTTACATACGGTGTATAAAATAGAGTTATATGGCTCAATTATTTTTATTTTGTTTCCTTGCAGAATGTCCTTGGGTGAGAGCCTTGAGGGTGTCAGGGGTGCTTTTGGTCAGTGATTTGGGCAAAAATTATGTATTAAGGAAGAAGAGACGCGCATGCATGCAGAAAGTGCTTTTTTCGTTTCTCTACTCTACATCAGGTTATAGTCTTGTCCTGTAAATTTGTTACATTTTACTTGGCACTTTATCTTTCATATGTCATAAAAATCTTCTTCCCCTAATTTCATTAGTTGGATTAGATAAATATATTTAGTTGGATCTGACTTGGATTATCTTTAGTCATCTCTTGCCAAACTAGAGCTATTGTTGTATGTCATTGATGCATTCTTTACATACACTTTCTTCAATGTCATTATAACCAAATTGGAGCTGAAAAGCAGGAGAGGGGTGCAGGACTATATTATACTGCATCATTTGTGAATCAAATGCAACAAATGTTTTCTCCCTATTATTCATAAGAATTGTCACCTATTTGTGGCTCTTGGGAATTAATGGCTTCATTAGGATAAATCTGTATAATTCTGCCGAGGGTAATCGCACTAATATTATAATATGATGAGCACAAGGACTTACCTGTGAGAATTTGCAGGGATATTCTTTTACACTCATTTTCAAGTTGAAGCTTTAGTATTAATCATGCAATAATATTATAATATAATAAGCAAAAGGGTTTGCACTAGATTGAATACATTTTGTTTTTGTTTTTCTTGATACTAAAAATTGAAATTGTCAATTAAAATGTGAGTGGAGGAATGTTTTGAAAGATGAAATTCCTGAATTGTTCTTCCTAGTTTTTTTTTAAAAAAATAGTGATCAAACTTACTTTTGCTTCCCCTACGCTAGAAGTACACTATTGAATAGGCCACAGCAAGCCAAGAATTCTGTATCAATAAGCAAAGATGGCAAACTTTCCCATACTTTTCTCTTGTGAGCAAACAATGTTGTTGTTAACTTAACATGGAGGATAAGGTGATGTAGTTTGGTTAGCAGATCATGAACCAATAATGCAAGAGGTTGACTCATTAAGCGTGGGAGATCGTTATTTAATGGTGTTAAGGGAAAAATTACGAATAAAGTCCTTTGTATAAATAAGTCCAGGTATATTTTCCCAATCAATAGAAACTTAAAAAAGCATGTATTTGCCTGCGCTTGTAATTCATTAAATTTTTTTTGGGGTTATTACATTTGTTCTGAAAATTCACTCAAGAGTGCTAGACATGTGGGAATCTTTTTTAGTGCAAATTTTTTTGGAGATTTAAAATTATACCAATATAATGTTGTCCCATGCCATTAAAAAATTAACATTAAAACATTTTTGATAGAGTAGGGGGTAACATTATTATGATTTTAAATTTTCAGGATAAATTTATACGAAAAAAAGTTTTCATATACCCATTACTCATAAGCGAAAACTTTTAGAGCAATTTTGCACCTTAACTCCATATTTTGTACCGCAACTTTGACATGCATACTCAATGGCCATTTAAAATAATTTTCGGACAGCAATATGGATAATATAAAACGGTTCTTATTATCAAATATATGTATAAATAAGTAAATATATTTATATAACGGTTCTGGGAGTAAGACCATCTTAATATAAACCATTTAAACTGTTTAACTGAGAGTAAGATCATCTTAATTAATATAGGTCAAACATAGAGTGAGTTCATTTTTTTTATTTTCCAGAATTATTAAACTTAGAGAAAAGGTAATGCCTTTACAGCCTCCCCCCCCCCCCAGTGCTTGTAAATAAAGTTAGATGCTAATAACCCTCTTGGGGGGGGGTTAAAAGAGATAATTGTATTTCTGTGATGTTCTACTTTGTATTTAAGATTTTTTTATGCTGGCAAAAAAATTTAAGAATTTTTTTAAAATAAAATTTCGTTTAGAACTCAGAATTTATATGATAATAGTTTTTTACAGTTGTGTGAGAGTTGAAGTTGATTGACATCTTTTAAATTACATAATGTTTATTTATAATGTGTAGGATTGTTGAATTCCACAATATAATACTGCTTCTGGTTCTTAATATAAGACCTTATTTGATTTTTATTTTAGTCCTAAATATGAGACCCCAATTCACTTTGTCTCTTATATTTATATTTTTTTTTCAAGGTAATTCTTCTAACAATGATAGTTCAATGTTGGCAAAAAAAAAAAAAAATGATAGTTCAAGCAAATACACTTGATTAGCAAGGATATTTTAAGAAAGATAACACATATTTATTATAAATAACTAACTTAACTTATTTTTTTAATCTTTAAATTAGTCAACTAATTCTTATAATTAGGACAAGAGGTAATACTTTTATATTATTCGCTTGTTATTATTCAAGGACATAGTGTGCTTTTTTTTTGACCAGCGACATAGTGTGTATTGAGATGGATATTAAAAATAAAATTGATAAAGATAATTAATAGAAAATAATTATATATAGTATAAATAAATAATTTCAGTTCATAGTTATTGTAAACAATAAACCTACTAAAATTTGAAATTTATTTAAAGTAATTGTTAAATAGGGACAAATTACTCACACACAAGCCTCCCCATAGCAGAGAGAAGCCACCCTCGTCACAGGTTACCCCCTCTGCAGTAGAACTTGCGACTTCCCTCTTTTGAGGGGGTGTAGGGTTCCACCAGGCCAAGAGGCTTTTGGCATTTCATGACTTTTCAAATAATCATCAAATAAGTCTTTTTTATTTGAAAAATTTTATAACCGTAACTTAAATATAGAATAAGAATTTCAATAATGACTCCATAAATTATTTAGTAAAAATAACTGTCATTTTTATTTTCTTAATAATGATTGTTCTTTTTTTTTTTCTTTTGCCAGCAATGATGATATGTTCATTGAACTTAAAAAAGTGCATTGATCCTTTTACTCATTAGATGAATCCCTTGAACAATACGTGCATGAACCATTCTAATTCATTAGATGAACCAATAAAACAAGCATTTACAATATTATTCTATTTAATAATCAGAATATATACATGAACCACTTTTGAGTGGCTGAGCCAGTAAACATGCATTCACCTTTTATTTTATTATTTTTCGGTAACATGTGTTTGCCTTTTTTTTTTTTTTTGACCGGAAACATGTGTTTGCCTTTTAGACTATTAATGCATTATATAAGTACATGAACCGCATGCTTGATGCGATGCATTCACATTTTACCAGAAAATACAATTCGGGTGTCCTCGACTTTGCATCCTTCAAATTTATTTCCATTCCGTTACATTTTATGATATTCTAATTTATGGTTTAAATTTATTTATAATATTCTTTTTAATATTAATTAACTCTAATAATAAAGCAATTAAAAATTTAAGCATTTTCATAACGACGACAACAAGGACAATAACAATACATTTGAAGGTTGGGGAAAAAAATAACAATATATCGAAGCATTAATTATTTCCAAATTATTCGATTTTTTCATCTGTCCGTCATATGTATTAGTATTTAATTTTTCACATGAAAAATACTAACAGTTTCTTTCAATTAAGAATGAATGTGTGTGTGTGCGCGCGCGTGTGTTAAACACTTATTCAATTGTTCAATCCGATTGTCATTTATAAAGAAATTCATTTTGAATAATATCATTTTTAGTAGAGCAATATTAATTTATTCCTTTATATGTATTAATTGCACTTTTTACACCAAAGGTTTAAACGGCCTAACACGTATGGTAACAAATAAAGATTATAACTTAACAAAACAAGAAACCAATTGTTTCGATGAGACCATTATAAATAGAGGGGACTCACAAAAAGAGAGACCCACCAGTAACTCTTCTAGTATTAGTGGTCATTTTCAACCCTTAGTTAGGTTAGCCATGGAAGTGGGTTCCTTGTTGGCTGTCATACCAATTTTTTGTGGTCTTATGATACTGAGATGGCTTCTCAGAAATGTGAATTGGTGGCTTTATGAGCGTCCTTTAGGTGAGAAGCAATACTCTCTACCTTTAGGAGACTTGGGATTGCCCTTCATTGGCAATATGTGGTCTTTTCTCCTTGCCTTCAAGTCTGGTTATCCTGAGTCCTTCATGGCCTCCATTTACTCCAAGTCAGTATATATAAACTTTCTCTCTCTCTACCCTTTTTAAAAAATTAGGATTTGTTTGTTTTTAATGGAATATTTTGATAATGCAGATACGGAACAAATGGAATATACAAGGTGTTGCTGTTTGGGAAGCCAAGTGTGATAGTGACAACACCAGAAGCAAGCAAGAGAGTTTTAATGGATGATGATAAATTTGAGCCTGGTTGGCCAGCCTCCACAGTGGACCTCATGGGAAAGAAATCATTCATTTCAATTCCTTATGAAGAACACAAGCGTCTAAGGCGTTTGACTTCTGCTTCCATCAATGGCATGGATGCCTTGTCTTTTTACTTGACAAAAATTGAAGACATTGCTATATCTTCATTGGAGAAATGGAGCAAGACGGGAGAGATTGAGTTTCTCACTGAGTTACGAAGATTCACATTTCGTATCATCATGCATATTTTCTTAGGCTCAGAGGGAGACAATGTTATGCATAACCTGGAAAAAGAGTACACAACCCTAAATCTTGGTGTTAGAGCTATGAAAATCAATCTTCCTGGATTTGCATATCACGAAGCCCTCAAGGTAAGTCTACAAATTTCCACTCTATAAATTTCCTTCCATAATATTTGCTTCAAGTTATGTATGATTCTGTTTTATCTTCCAGGCTAGGAAAAAACTAGTGGCCGTATTTCAAAGTGTTGTTGATCAACGAAGAAAAGAAAGGAAGGAAAATGTTTATTATAGAAAATCCAGAGACATGATCGATGGTCTAATGGATGCGAAAGATGAAAATGGAAAGAAATTAGATGATGAACAAATCATTGACATTATGTTAATGTATTTGAATGCTGGTCATGAATCTTCAGGTCATACTACAATGTGGGCCACAGTTTACCTACTGCAACATCCAGAAATTTTTCAGAAGGCTAAGGTACTATGAATTTGCCATAGTTTAAGATAGAGTTGCAGTTGACTCCTAATTTATTCTACAAATTTCTTGTTTTACTAATATAGTTGATTATTTGAGCAGGATGAACAGGAAGAAATCATCAAAAGAAGGCCTCCAACACAAACTGGGTTGACACTCAAGGAAATTCGCCAAATGGAATACCTTTCTAAGGTATTGACCATTTACACAGATACACCAACATAAACGCATATGATATACTACCTCCGGTCCTTAATATAAGACCCCGTTTGACTTTTAGTTTGGTCCTAATTATAAGACCCCAATCCATTTTGTCTCTTATATTTATGCATTTTTTTTCAAGATAGTCCTTCTAATAATAATAATTCTAGCCAATACACTTAATTAGTAACGATATTTTAGGAATGACAATACTTATTTATTACAAATAATTAACTTAACTTACTTCCTTAATTTTCTCAAATTAGTCAACTAGGTCTTATAATTAGGATCGGAGGTAGTACTATGTTTTGTAAATCTTAGATTCATCACATCATCATTTGCTATATTATCTTCTAATATATTGTACTTTCTCTTTCTTGCATTGCTTCTATAGGTGATTGATGAAACCATGCGTTTGGTTACATTCTCATCTATGGTATTTCGAGTGGCAAAATCAGATGTGAATATCAATGGTTAGTGATTCCAATCGTAACAAATTCTAGTACCTTCTTTGAAACAAAAAGTAAACTTTTTTCTTATGGTACTTTAATTAATTATTGTTTTTGAATCATATAGGCTATCTTGTTCCCAAAGGATGGAAAGCTCTTGTTTGGTTCAGGGCAATTCATTTTGATCAAAAGATATATCCAAATCCGTTGGAATTCAATCCTTCTAGATGGGATGTGAGTTAAATGTCTAATTGTTAACATTAACATATGTATTTCCTATAATAACCAACCATTTACTTTTATGCTTCTGTATTTATAGAATTTTATACCGAAAGCTACGGAGTTTATGCCATTTGGAGCTGGAAGTAGATTGTGTCCAGGAAATGAACTTGCAAAGCTAGAAATCACGGTTTTTCTTCATCACTTTCTTCTCAATTACCGGTATGAATGCACTACTATATATGTGAAGAGTATAATTAATTAATGAAGCAATTAATTGTATAAGTAATTAATTAATGTTTTGATTTGGTATGGCAGGCTTGAACGTTTGAATCCTAAGAGTCCTGTGATGTACCTTCCGCATACAAGACCTGCTGATAACTGCAAGGCTAAGATTCATAAGATACCCAAAGTGTGATTAACACTGGAGGGATTCTAAATGAAGACAGCATCCGCATGCATTTTTTATTCCGTCCTTTTTTTTTTTTTTTCGTTCGAGTTAGTAATTTCTCTTTATGAGTAAGTTGGGTGGAAAACCCCATTTTGGGACTTCATGCATATATAGTGGCCTGGGCGCTGCAAATCATAACGTATAATAATATTCTGGAATCTATGTTCTTGAGAATAACATGAGATACGGAATCGGTATCCGTGTTTCCCATAATTCCATATGTTCGTTTTAGATGTTATATTGAGGGGGGGGGGACAAAAAACTTTGGTTAAGTTCTTTATATCTATTTTATCAATTTCTTCAATCACATGTGGTCATGTGTTCTTTTTTGTGAATTTATAATTAAACATTAATATTTTAAAAAGTAAGACACATGGTCATTTGTTATTGGAGGATTTAATATAATAGATATAAGGAATTTGATATTAGTATTGTCCCATATCAAAGATGTAAATAACGTCTATGCCTTGTTAGAATAAGAAGATATCTAAAACATGAAAATGAGAAATGAGGAGGTGAGAATGCACGAGAAAATTTTTTAATTCGTACTCTGAAAACCAAGGCAAAAATTTAAGAAAGAAGTAGGAAGAGGGGAAAACGATAGGAAGGGCCCTACAAGGATAATGACGTATAGGCCAAATTTCTTAATGGGAAAAAGACACAAAAATAACATATAAACTTGAAAATCCCCAAATCATCACTTGAATAAGGTAAATTCCATTTTCATCACTTCAGACCAAATTGGGATTTCAAGTTAAATAGAATGACCAAACTGCTCTTATCAAATACAAAACATGGGCACCACATTCACTTGCATTAGATGGAGTCTAGTGGGAAGGAAAAAACAGAGAGTGTGTGTAAAGCTAGATCGAAGGTGAGGAGAAGGTGCTGGTTTGAAAGTGGACGTATTCTTTTTGAAATCATATAACTCTTTTCATCCTCCTAGCATCATCACTATGGTATTCTATTTTTTCATTTTGATGGTTTTGGGTTCTGGGTAATCAAAGATTCAGACAGACTGAAGTGTGGCGTTACAGAAGTTAAAGGTCCTTCAAATTAGATGTTGGTTCTTCCTCTTTTTAGGTGTGAGAACAGTTAGAAATTTGAACATGTGGCTTAATTAGTGTTGGACAGGGTTTGGGTTCTAGGTGTGATGACCATTCTTTTAAAACCCATTTAGATCTAAATTTTCAATTTATTTGAAAGATTAACCATGATAAAAAAGAAGAAACCTTAAAATTTTAAAATCACTATCATGGTTAAAAGAAATAAACTTATCAGAAGCACGTCGATACTTAACTTGGGCCTTGGACTTCCAAAGTCCAGAAATATCATTCAACCCTTGGCCCAAACAAAACTCATACTTTCAAACAAATGTCATATGCAAAGTCTTAGAGGCCTTTGGCTTTTTAACAGCCCTCTCATCAATCAGTAGTAATCAAATGTATTAGTTTACAATATCAAAGTAGATGAGTTCTATGTGGCAATATATAAGTGCCTTAAATGTGGGACTTCAAGATACAAAGTTAAGAAAGATGATGGTGATTATAATGAGATGACCAAAGGTTCTCCTTTGAAGATTCTGTGGTATCTTCCAATAATACCATGATTTAAGCGTTTATTTGCTAATGCCACAGAAGCAAAGAACTTGAGATGGCATTTTGATGAGAAAATATGTGATGGAAAGTTTCGTCACCCAACAGATTCTCCTTAATGGAAAACAATAGATCAAAATTTTTCCCAATTTGGTAGCGAGCCAAGAAACCTTTGGCTAGGGCTTTGTATAGACGGAACTAATTTATATGGTAATCTTAGTAGCACACACAGTGCTTGGCCGGTGCTCCTTGTAATTTACAACTTGCCTCCTTGGTTATGTATGAAAAGAAAATATATCATGCTATCTTTAATGATCTCAGGGCCAAAACAGCTAGGAAATGATATCAATGTGTATTTGGCACCTTTGATTGAGGATCCGAAGAAATTATGGGAGGAAGTTGTTAATGTGTTTGATACATATAAACAAGAGACCTTCAATTTACGGGCCATGATCTTCACCACAATAAATGAATTTCCGGCATATGGAGATTTGTCAGGATACAATGTTAAGGGTCATAAAGCATGTCCAATATGTGAAGAAGGCACCCACTATATGCAACTTAAGCATGGCAGGAAGACAGTCTACCTTGGTCACAGAAGGTTTCTTAGTCAACACTACCCTTACCATAGGTTGAAGAAGGCATTTAACGGCTCACAAGAATATCAAATGGCTCAAATACCATTAACTAGAGAAGAAGTTTATCAACGGGTGAAGGGAATTAATGTGGTTTTCAGTAAAAAGAAGAAGAAGACTGCTAGTGAGAGGAATATATAGAACAAAAAGATCTATTTTTTTGATCTTTCATATTGGCAAAGTCTTGATGTGAGACATAGTCTAGATGTGATGTATGTGGAAAAGAATATGTGTGAGAGCCTTGTTGATACACTTTTACATATAAGTAGAAAGACTAAGGATGGAATCAATACAAGACAAGATTTGATTGAAATTGGAATAAGAAAACTCCTCCACCCACAAGAAAGAGATGGTAAGAGGTTTATTTACAATCAGCTGCGCACATGTTATCAAAAGAAGAGAAAAGAAGTTTCTGTGGTTTTGTCAATAACATTAAGGTGCCACAAAGTTATTTTTCTAATTTGAGCAAACTTGTTTCAATGCAAGATTTCAAGTTAAACTTCCACTTGCTATTCGAGACATTATGAAAACCGATGTGAGAAGTACTATTATAAGACTTTGTATGTTTTTTAGTGCCATTTGCAGCAAAGTCATTGATCTTGTTGAGTTAGATGAATTAGAAAATGAAGGTTATGTGATCCTCTCCCAATTGGAAACTCACTTTCCTCTATCATGTCTTGATATTATAATCCACTTGATAGCTCATCTTATGTGAGAGATAAGACTTTGTGGCCCTGTGTGTTTAAGGTGGATGTAGTCGTTTGAGAGATACATGAAAATCCTAAAAGTGTACTCTAAGAATCCTTATTGGCCTAAGGCATCAATTGTTGAGAGATATATAGCTGAGGAGGCAGTTGAGTTTTGTAATGCATATCTTGATAGGTTAAAGGCAGTTGGACTTTCTCAATCTCGACATGATCAGGGGAGAAGCAAGGGAACATGGGGTGTTATAGTGAGGTCTATGTTAAGAGAAGTTGTAATGCAAGCACATCTATACATTTTAAACAACACGGATGAAGTTTTGCCTTGCTTGAATGCTCACAAGAATATGTTGAAGAACTTGAATTCAAAAAAGAACGATATGCAACTAGCTAATGAACATAATAAGTCATTTGCAGAGTGGTTCAAGCAAGAAGTGTTAAAAGATAACAATCCTTCTAAGACAATACAAAGGCTAGCTACAGGGCCTTGTTTTGAGGTTTGTGTTGGGGCAAATACGACATAAATAGTTATTTATTTTACACAAAAATCCAAGATGACAAGAGTACCATGCAGAAGAGTGGGGTGATAGTAGTAGCCGAAGCTATGCATTTTGCTAGTTCTAAGGATAGAAACCTAACATTGGCAGTAATGTCCTATTATGGAATAATAGAAGAGATATGGGAGGTTAGTTATACCAAGTTTAAAGTTTCCGTCTTTAAATGTAAGTGGGTTAATAGTAATACTGTGCACGTAGATGAAGAATTTGAATTTCTTTCGGTCAATCTTGAGAGGTTTGGATATAGAGATGAGCCATTTATTTTAGCTAGTCAAGCGAAACAAGTGTTTTATGTTCCGATCTAGTAAAGAAGAAATTGTCTATCGTACTTCAAGTAAGAGGCAAGGAGTTAGTGGAGATGCTGGTGACTCAGAGTTTAATCTTGATGACACTCCACCTTTCACAGCTACTCGACCTAAAAGAGTCAAATTAGATTTAGTAGATGATGACTATGCTGTTAGAGATGATCATTGTGAAGGAATTTAGGAGGATAATTGTTGTAAGGTCTAAATAAATTATTTGATGTTTCTTATTAAATTCATTTCATATTTATTATTATTCATAATATGATGTTTTTTGTTAAACATACTTAATGTTTTATATTAACTTGATATTTCTTATTCTTATATTTATTAATTGGTTGTTCTTTGAACAGGAAATGGATGGATCCAGTCAACAGGGTTTTGATGACAACAGCTCTGTTACTACTAGCCAGAGAAAGGGTAGAGGGCTAACCCGTATGAGGCATTTGGCTTTACGTGATGAGATTACACAGCCTATGAAGATTATGGTGGAGTTTGATGATGATTTGAAGCCTGTAGGAAAGACTGGGGCTTAATTTGCTAGTTATGTGGGTTATGTTGCACGCAGCAAGATCGAGATTGACATTCCTAGCTGGAAGAAGGTGGACAAATATTTGAAGCAAACATTTAGGAGAATATTTTGGTATATTACGAATTCTTTTATCTATTTGTTTCAATTATAATTGCTTATTTACTTATAACCTATGTTATTGTATTGCAGCTAACATTTGATATTCCCGCCATTGAGCAAATGAGAGACCGTCTATTTAAGCAAATTGATGAATGGTGGAGGGATTTTAAATCCATGCTTACAAAACACTATATTCGTGGAAAAAGAAAGGGTGAGCACCCTAAGAAATGATGCCAATTTATTAGCGAAGAGGCATGAGACAGTTTTGTGAAACAACGTGCAGATTCTGCATTTCAGGTTTGGTTTCTTCAAACTTAGTTTTTAATTAGTTCATATTTTATTTAACTAAACTAACTTTGTTAAATTTGTTTCATTGTCATAGGCATTGAGTCAGAAAAACAAGTAAATATCTGAGCAGAATGTGTACTCACATACCATGTCTCGTGTAGGGTATGGTGGGTTGGAAAGAAGTATGATAGAGGAGCGGATGAAGAATGCACAGATGGCTGCTGTTTTAGATCCTACTGGCTACATTCCACCTATTGAGCATCCTTCTCGCTAAGAAAAACGGAGGGCAGCGAGGATTAAAAAGGTTGAATACATTTCTCCAGAATTTGTTGTTGTTGTTGAGAGGATTGTAAGCAATATTTATACATTATGCTTCAAATTGCTTTTTTAAATTATCTTAAATTGAATTTGCTGTTTTAATATTACAAGATACACTTGAGGAGCAATTATCTCAAGG